CGTCAATTCTGGCGCGTAATGCGCGTGAATCATTTTTTTGGACAAAAATGTCACGGATGATGAAAAATGGATTCTCTTTGCGAATATTAAACACCAAAAACAATGGTTTAGTCCTAGAAAAAACCACTTCCGACCCCAAAACCTGGACTCCATCCGCAGAAAGTGATACTTTGCATTTGGTGGGACATCAAAGGAGTAATGCATTTCGAGCTCCTGAATTCAAAATGCAGAGATCTATAAATAGCAACTGGAACGTTTAAATCAAGCCCTTCACTCGTCAATCGTAAAACTGTTCTTCTTCTCCACAAAAATGTACATCCACACGTGGCACGTTTGACGTAACACAAGATTATGGAGTTAGGTTGGGAAGTTCTCCCCCATTCACCATATTCTGCAGATAGGACACCATCAGATTACTGTCTTTTTCGTTCACTGCAACACCATCTTAATGGTAAACTTATGCAAATGTGGAAGGTGTTAAAGAGGACATCGACATGTTTTTTGCAACAAAGCCAAGTAATTTCTTTAATCGGGGCATTGACAGCCTGATTGTAAGATGTAAAAGCATCATCGATAAGAATGGAGGTATTTCGTTTAATAAATGTTTTGTTTTGATATATAAATTGTTCGTATTTTTTCATCTAAAAGAAAGCGACATTAATTTCTTGACGACCTAATAATCAAAATTTATAATTGGTTCCGTCACCATGTCATTGCCAATACCATATAAAAACCTTGTATGCATTTTAATTATTGGAGTAGTGTTTTTCATTGTTTGTTTATTTCTATGTGGTTACAACAGAAAAATTTCCACTTTAAAAATACAGTCTTAAAATATTTAAAATACTGAAATAGTTATCCTTCTGCTTGCCTCCTGTTTAATCGCTATTGAACAAAGTGGAAAGCTTTATATCCACAAAAGAATATGACAATGCGAGATATTGATTAATCATATGCGTTAGTCAATTGCTTATAATTATCTATCAAATCAGTGTTAATGTGTTAATCACTGCTAGAATCTCGGAACCGTCACTGAAGTAACGAGTGTTAAGTGGTTTTTAAGACAATAGCATAGGTAATACCAATACTTGGATTGTCTTGTCAGCTTTATTATTTACCGAGCCTTGGTCTTTGTGTTATTAATTACCTCCTAGGGCAATCGAAATATACAAAATGTACAAAATCCATCGAAATATACAAAAAACCATGACATGTTTTACGTGGTTCAACGTTGAATTTATTGTATAATTTTATGATTAATGTGTATGTACGATTTGTAGATTGACACGCATCTGTTGACCTATACTTGAATTATATGTTTGTCAATTCACCTGCTTCTGAATAATCTATGTCACTGTATATACATTTTTCATCTTTTGCCATTTACTACACACAACTTCTTCCTTCCCATTCATGTTATATTCATGAGACATAAATACTCATTATATTCTTTAAAAAATCTCCATGACAATCTCTAGCTGCAGTTTAACATTTTACATCTCGAACTAATACGATCAAGTAGTCAATAGCTACAGTAAATCATCATGAACCGTAACAGCTAGCTACTAGCTATGCTTATTATCCTTACAATGTATAAAGTTAGCTACCATATCAAGTAATACTTTGCCCATAGTTGAGCATAAAAAAACCAGGAAACAAGATAGATAAAAACATTGGAAATTTAAAACCTGCAAATAGGGATCGTAAAAAAAAAGAAAGGAAATAAGGCTGGAGATACTCTAGACATTATTTACTCAAACTACAAATCCCTAACTTGACTCTACCAAACGTAAATGTAGGTAACAGCATGGAGCCAAAATAGGGACTTGTAGTTTGTATAAATAATGTTAAAATTATCTCCAGACTTGTTTCCTTACTTTTTAAGATCGCTACTTGCACGTTTTTAAATGGCCAATTTTTTATTCATCTTTTTTAAATGCAAAACCACAACACTTAAGATTTCACAGCCGTTGCATATAAGTAAAACATCTACATCTTTCTAATAGTTTGTTGGGTAGCAGGGCCCAGTGAACTAGCCAACTAGACAATAGGACGTGCACGTGCTTAGCAGATCTCGCTGTTTTAAGTCGCGTCGCCGTCTGTGATCAGCTTGGCGACAAGACAAAATATTAACTACAAAGAAACAAGCTAGCTCTAACACTTGCCACTACTTTCCTGTACTTGGAATAGAAGTGCCATCTTTGCTTGGTTTGCTTCACCAACGTTTTTGGAGAATAGTCCAGAAATACTACGGCTAGTGTTTTCAGCAAAATTGTAACTGTTAATTTATTCCATTTTAAACAGACTGAAAGTTATTCTACGAAAAATATTCTATAGCAATACAAAATGTACAAGTTCATGTTTATTATTTGTTAAATGGTTACTATTCAGTCTCTTATTTCGAAATCTAATTCACCTGGTCAGGTCCTAGAGCTTTGGATAATTTGTTGTTTTGCTATTATTTCAAGGGCAGCACAGCGGGATTCTATGTTACATACGAAGACTGCTTTCTATCGCTTCTTATTAATAATAAACCAACGTTTTGTATTTAATTCTTGTTAATACAAATCTCATAATCACACACACACAGATTACGTTGTGTGTTTACATCATATTAATATTTACTTAGTTAATAAAAACACATTTTTTTAACGATGTCCCACCTATATACACCTAATACAAATCTCATAATCACACACACAGAGATTACGTTGTGTGTTTACATCATATTAATATTTGCTTAGTTAATAAAAACACGTTTTTTTAACGATGTGCCACCTATATATACACCTAATACAAATTCGTCGAACCAAAGTACCTGTTTCTGTGACATAATAAGATGAATTCTTGTATCGCGTATAATAAAGTATTACAGCTTAGTCCTAAAATTCTCGTGCTCCATAATATGAACATTTATGATTTTCTTTGTTTGTGTGTATTGTTAAGCACAAAGCGACATAATGAGCTATCTGAGCTATGCCAGTTGTGAGTATCGAAGCTCACATTTTAGTGTTGTAAACTGTGAGATTTACGACTGAGCCACTAGGTATGGCACTGACATTTATGACCTGTTGTTTACATTTTAACATGCTATCATATAATAACGTGATAATAAATGTTACAATAAACTGAACCTTGTTTATTTGTTTATTTAATGAATTTCGCGCAGAACTACGCGAGGGCTACTTGCACTAGCCTTCACTAATGAAAAAGTGATAGACTGGAAAGTTACTCTTTATCAACTAAAAGTGGGATTGACCGTAACATTTTAACGCTACCAAGTTGGAAAGTCAAGCATGTTCGGTCAGGGGACTCGAACCCTGGATCCCTACATTGTGAGTCAAGCACGCTAACTAGCAGGCCATGCAAAGCCCTAAACTGAAGCTAAACATAATTTTCTAAACTTTTCCACATTAATATTGTAGTATATAATCCAAAGCTTTTGAAGTTTTATTTAATGATATGCAATCCAAACTGCAAGAAAGAATCCTTTTACAAAAATCGTCTTTGTCATCAAACGAATATCTGTTTGCTTTTGAAATTTAGGTTCGGTAATGGGGCATATCATATTTTCTTTCTATGATGTTAGATGAATAAAACATAAGTCAAATATTTTTTTCCTTTCTGGTGACAATTCGTCCGACTACGTGAAAAGTCACTGCTCCAGCGTACAGCTTACCGTAATACCCGGCCAAGCTTTCATCAACCGTACAGTCGGGATGCCGGCAACCACAACTTTGTGATGGATTACTGCAGCGAGTAACCATTATCAAGCTTTCCACAACTGAACAAATCGGAACAATCAAGCAGGAAAACTTACCGTATAAAAACTGGAAACTCTTATCTAAAAGGCACAGTACGAACGTCAAACATCGGAAGTCTTAATAATTGGAGATCTGTACATACAAGAAAACAATTTGACCTTTTCGAAATCACTATAACAGGTCTTAATCACACGAGTTGTAGCCATCTTGAAATGACAGGAGCGACCTTCAATTATCTCTGTGACGTCAGAAAGATATATAATATTGTTGCGTCATCGAGGTCACGTGACTGGTGTGGCGGCACCTATTTTATAGAACTATC